CGGATCACGTCACTCCTGGCGGTATTAGAAATTAAGGATAATTAGGAGAATCGGGAGAGAATGTGTTGGCGCGCACGTGATTCGCCGTCTGCCTCTCGATTTCTTTTTGTTTGACGACTTATTTACTCTTCCATTTAACGGGACGAGCGTCTCTCCTGTTACATCATTTCTGCGGGCCAGACAGCACGTAAGGAGTATATAAATTAATTAAAGCGCACGAGAAGAGAGCAGCTGACAAATTTGAAGACCGTAACGATTCAACGTCGGGCGACGTCAAGAACGTAAACGCTAGTTAGAAGTAAAAGATTTTGGAACAAAAGATTTTCGAATTCGATTCTTTATGATATACAATATTTGGAGATTCATTTTTACGAACAATGTGCGTAATAAAGTGCAAGTAATAACAGGAAAAAAAGAGATCCATAAATTGAAAAAAGAATTTTTAAACGGTATTATGAAATAATATTATAACGATTTGATTCATGATATGAGAATAATCTTTTTGCTTTCTTGAATTTTTATTATTTATGTAAATTTTTATGTATATTTACATTCATATTTTATTAATATTTTAATTTAGGAAAAAATATGCAACTGCATTAATATAATTCATGAGAAACTGGAGCTGTAGCATTATTAGACAATACAATAATGAGTTATTGCGTATATCTAATAATAATTATTGTTTTTTCCAGGTTCGATTGACGGGCGGCCATATGGTGAAGCAGAGGAGATTTATCGGAAATACCAATAACAAAATGATCAATATACATTTGTAGAAGATTTGTATGGATATCTTAGAGAAGTAATTTAATACGCACGATCCGAATGTAACATACGTTGTTCCTCATGAATTAGGTACGAAAATAGGCCTACGTACGAGACTTATCACGAATTTTATGAGGCAACTATTTACATTCGCGATTACATTTGCGTAAGACGCGTTGTCGAGTACTGCAAGAAGAGTTACAGATTCGTCAACGAGTCGAAACATTTTAATAGGTTTCTACGAGCCAGGAGACGAGTGCTAGATCCGAGTGCGGATCTAGATGTGATCGTACTTGTGATTCGATTTTCTTTTTTTTCCATTTTATCCAGATTTACAGAGATTTACAGAGATTTTTTTACTTTCTTATTACGGTGAGTAAGACACGATACCATTGCTTGTCCATTTCTTCTTTTATTCGGAAATTCAAATAATAAAATCAAATAAAAGTTGTAGAACGTGTTTTCGCGTTTCGCAGAAAAGTAGTAGAAAATTTCCGAACGTAGAACAGAGAACCGAATATTTTTCGCGTATAATATCGAATGTATCGAATTATCATGCTGCCTAGAATATAATTGCAGTTCGTATTGAAAGCCATTTCGGAATAATTGCAATATCGAGATATTCGTATTTATAACAGGATAATTCTAAAAGCTTTATGAACAAAAATAATAGATCTAACGCTCAATATGTAATGGCATTTTAAAAATCTAAGAAAATAAATATTTTATGTTAATAAAAAAAATCAAATTCAATGTTCAATATCTGTCTCTTTGCGAGCATTACGAAAGACATTTGGAAAGTTTCATAACGCAATTCTAACAGTATTCGATAGAAATGGTTTTTTAAAATGACGATATGAGTATCAGATCAGATCGCAAGAAGTAGGGACAACGTAGAGAATTTGCAAAGCAATTCATAGTTCGCGACAGTACCATTGACAGAAATAGTGAGACATTTAGCGATCCATCTAGACAATCGAACGGCAAACAACTTGATTCGTTAAAAACAACTTGATCGAGTTTAGCGTGTGGCCAATATAACAATAACTTGCCAGCGTATCGCGTGCGTTTCTCTAGACTGAGCTGTCGAACTGTCATTGAGACTAATCGATTATTCAGAGCAACCTCTCCCCGCTTGAATGTCGCAGAAAACAGACGTCGTCGTAATCTTGCCTTTTGTTCTTTTTTTTTTCAGATTTTAGATACTATCGTTTATCTTACAGAGGAGGAAGAATAAAGTCAAAGTAATCGAGAGCGGTAACCGCAGTATCCATTACGTTTTATAACTCTCGCGATATTGATACAAAGGCAATCCCCGACAGATTTTCATGTCACAATCGAGCAAACGCATGGTCGAAAATTCTGCGGGAAAAATGGTGTTTTAATTTGCGAAGTCTGAACCAATTTTCGACCTTTCCGTGTGCCGAGCCAGGCAGAGTTTCGTCATAATGGTGAGTGATATATCGGTGCGCTTTATATAAATTAATTTATGCCTTCCAAGCGGAGAACATATAAAATCTCATTCATTACGCATGTCGTCGCAAATCGTCGCTCCGCCTTACGTAATTCGATATGCATAACAGACACTGCCCATATCGGTGTAACCCAAATAGCACGTTGTGTAAGCTACACACGTAACACTGTGTAAACTCGGCGGATGGCTCGCCAAGTCGATAACCTTCGTCATGGTCAACCGTCTGCTAGTCGAATGGTCACCGAGACCAGAAATGAAAATTTTCGCTCGATTCCCTAAAGATTTACTCTGCGCGCACGCTGCTTTCATATTGTCACGAGGCGCAGAATTGTATTGTCATTCATGTAAGTTCCGGTGGAGCTGCCCAACGGAGGGAGGAGGGGTTACATTCGCGAAATTCCTCCCATTAATCAACGTTTCCTGTTGCACTTGGAAGATCAGTTCGCGCGCCGCGCCGCCTCGAGTCCGCAATCCAATTTATTTCTCTCGTGTTTTTCGGACACGTTGAGAACAACGTTCGCGACTTTTCAACGACTTGGCGCATCGTGAGTTGCGCCACGTGCATTTCTTTTTCTCCTCGACATTGCCACCTGCGGGAAGCAAACGTCGACATACGTGTCATGTACGCGCGACGTTGTTATTTAGACATTACCGTTTGCGTGACATCACCGTTTGCATATGTATCGCGAGGTGATTTTGCGCGTCTGACATTGAAAATTAGCATGTAGCGTTATGCAGATCAGCGCGAGGCGTGGCGTGGCGCAACAGGCGCATTTTCGTACATATTTCGCGCATAGGCAATGAGAAAGCGTCATCCGTTCCAGCTCATCTCGGCGGATCAAAGGTAGATCTCAGAAGATTCCGCGGACTTTATCGACCCGCTCGTAATGACGATCGAGCGTGAGATGCGGTATCCGTTCGTGGCGGAGGGGTAACGGAAACATCCTGTCCGTCGACGGCAGGTTTCGGATTTTGTTACCGTTACCAGGCCGGAGAGATAATGTCCCATAATTGCGCGTCTCGCGCGAATGCCGTCTCGGGTAAATACCGGCGGCGCGGCGCTCGCAATTAAAACGGTGTCGTGTTTCGCTTCCGAATGACAAGCGGCGCGCGGTAATCGTTTATGAAAAACGGCGGATCGAGTGAATAAACGTTTCCCCCCTAACGAAAATTAATGCGTGCGAGAGAGAGCGCCGGGCATTTAGACATGCTTTTAGCGGCGCTCCATCAGCGCGCGGAATATTGAATAGTTTTCTCGGAGCGAGACGTGCTATTTTTATATAAAACTGGTTCCGTATCTTTTCTTAGAACTACCCACGCTCTCTCTCTCTCTCTCTCTCTCTCTCTCTCTCTTTCTTTCCCTCTCCATCTCCAGAACGAATCAATCTCAATTGTCCGTCTGATGTAATTATCGGCACGATCGATTGCGATTGCGTTTCGATGTCGAGTTGCGTGGAATAAGGGCGGAGGGCGTTCGCGTGTAAATCCGACTCGGGATTAACGCGACAGGGAACAAAGGGCGAATAATGCACTCTCGATTTCCGAGAGAAAATCCTCCTTCCCCTTTCCCTCCCTCTCTCGCTATCTCCCCCTGTCTCCTTACAGCCCTTGAAACGCAACGTAAGGATTCGCGTCTGAGTTTCCTTCCTGGTTGATTCACTGGTTAATCAGAGCGACCACGGGATTCCGCTGTGAATTTCAGCTGGCTCCTGCCTGGGGCACCTTATCTTATACATCGCCGGAAACAACGGTGAGCGTTCGCCACTAATGCGTCGGCTTTAGCAATTAATCGACTCTCATTGTTTCCACGATTGCAACTTAAATTATTACGGGGGGAGATCCATCCCGCGCTCTTCTCTTCTCCGCGCGAAACGACGGTGTCGACGTTCGGATCGACGCGAAACCGTCGTTATCTCGCGAAGGTGAACGTTCGCGATGCTACGAACAGCTACGAAGAAAAGCCCATTTCATTCCGTCCGAAAATTCG